TGATTAACATTGCATGGTGTTCAATTTAACTCTGAAAAATTGTATGTTGACTTGCCTAAAGTACAAAGCATATCCTCACACTGCCACTGAAGTTTAGACATGTGCATCACTTGATGCAACATTGCTAGAATGATTGGCCCATGATTCAGTGCATGAAATGTGTGAAAAATGTGATTTAGGTCATGACTCCAAGCAGCATTCTTCCTAGTGAAATAATGCAGCCCTATAACTGAGTCCCCAAAACAATGACTCATGAGCTGATTCACAATCCACCTAGCATGAAACAACAGACAAATAGACAGATGTATACATATGTATATGTATACACACATACATCTATATGTATATGTCCTCTGGTTCAGGGCTGATATTCAGCAAATTTCTGTATGAATAACATCAGTGTTCCTGTTTAGAAGTTCCAGTAAGAATTGCTCTTGTGATGTTGCAAACATTTTATGACAAATGCTGCATAGTGCTAATTTTGACCCTGACATAACGTTTGAGTTTGCATAGAGCACACTGTAATTCCTCATGCTGCTAATGGTATTTTTAGCTCTATGACTCACTGATTGCAGCATGGTGAAAAATCATTAGCTTATGATTCAGCTCATGGAATGTATGAAAAATGGGAGTCAGGTCCTGAGGCAAAACAACATTTCCTGGTGAGCAGATGCAGCATATAACTCACCCCAAAATGATGAGTTGTGTGAGCAGATTCACTATTCCAGCTTGAGCTAAACCTCAGGTCTGGCTGAATGTGTATGTGTGTGAAAAATGCTGAATTTAGTAGATGGTTACCTGGTTATAGACAAGCCTTGCATTATTTTGGCATGTTAACCATGTTGTTAAAAGGTTTTGTTATCTGATGCCTGACAGGACACAAGCTTGAGTTCATTCACTAAGTTGAAATCCCGGATGTGAACTTGTCTTCTTTAGAACATGCATGCTAGCATGTATATATATATATATATATATATATATATATATATATATATATATATATAGATATATATATATAGGCTGCAAAAGTCTCCTATATAAGTGTTGGTAAAGACCTGGCATAGGTTGGATTTAATAAGCTTTTCTGCACTTGCACCAGCTTTCTTGTTATGGTTGTCTGTCCATCTTTGAGACTAGGAAGTGACTCACTGATATTTGGAATAGATTGGTTAGCCTGATGTTTCGGACCCACATACTCCATTTACAAAGGTACACACATACACTTACAGGTGACAAATTTGGATGACGTGTTACAGTTGGGTATAACCAGTAAGGCATAGCGAGTAGGTACAGATCAGGTCAGTTCCGTCATCAAATTGGCACAGTGTCTAAATGTGGTGTTCTAAAAAGGTGGTGTACATTTTTAGGAGCATGAGAATTTAAACAGCAAAACACATGCTGAATAGTGAGATATACAATCTAATGATGGCACTGATCATCCCTAAAGAAGGTGAAGGGTGACTGAGGGGCTGTTTGCTCTTTCAGTTCCAGTTACAGTGTTTTAATTGTGACAGCCTCCAGAACATGACTTTTTCTTCAGAAAACTAGAGCAAGTGCAGAAAAAGCTTTATTAAACACACCTATGCCATGGTGTTAGAACACACTTATATATACATATGTGTATATGTATATATAGCCACATATTCATCAGTCAACTGCAGATAACAGATCATATCCAAATTATATCATGAGCTGAATTTCCATCAAGATGCATTCTTTTAATTATAAAAGTTTTCAAAAAAGCACTTTTGAAAACATAACAAACCAGACATTGATTCAGAATCTTGGCACTTTGCTCATGCTCAGCAGTGTGTTATATGATGCAGTGAGGTCATAACGAGGTTATCGGTGCCTATAAATTATCTTCCCTCACTTAGGGCCGGGTCCACAATGTTGCAGAAGTTGCTGCAAAAAGAAACCCCTTTACCATCATGTGTATGGGTTGGAAAATGTAACTCGGGGTTGGGGTGGATTTTAATTCTGGGACCCCCTGAGATACTGATGTCAGGATTAGCATGCATATTTTAAACATTACCCTTGTTTTCCTTCAGTCCGTGAGATGTTCCAATGCTGAGTGTGGTGTCGGAGTATGGTATAGAGTATAAGTATCACTATCAGAATATGAGTAATACTATCAGAATATGAGTAATGCTATTGGAATATGAAGTATCACTGTCAGACATGGTGAAACACCATCATGTGTAGTATATCAGACACAATTATGCACCTATGTTCCCTGCACAGTGGACCATTGCAATCCAAAGAATGAGCTGCAAACATCAGATTGAAGGGTTGTATTTTAGATGGCAACGCCTTATGTTCTTGAGCTTGTATCCACTGCTGTGATTATTCGTTCCCATACCCTGTCGTCTTCATTCCGTCCATTGCGAAATTGGTCTGCGGTTGTGCGCTCTGTGGTACTTGGATTTAGTTGTCTACGGCTCGGATACGGCTGCTGATCTTTGGCCCACTCAGGTGTCTAGGGCATGTGGCGTCGCTTGCGCTCTTACTCCGGGAGGAAGGGAGGACACTGCGAGGAATCGAATCGGATCCCATATTCCCTGAGTTCTTAGACTTGTCCGGCTTATCCACTCCACTGTCGGCACGCCTATGTATTCAGTTGTGATGAAAGTCCCGCATGCGTTATGTTTCACGGGTGCTGGACTAGACTACTGAGCAGCCACAGACGCTAGAAGGATTTGGCGGTTCTCAGTCAGGGCTGTAAGAAAGCAGAGTTTCCGGAAAGAAGACCAGCCCGAAGAGAGGTGATCTTCACCAGCCCGGCCAGCAATTCACTGTTATCCATGTGACACGTTCCTTGCCAGCCCAGCTCCTCCATAGACGCCTATATCGGTTCCCCGCCAGCCCGGCTCGTCATAACGCTCATTGGCTTCCCCCCGTCAGCCCGAGCTCCCTGCAGGACCACCCATCGGCTTTCTGTGAAAACCCAGCTTCCGCAACGAACAACTCGCCTGGCCGTCGCCAACCCAGCTTCCCCTTACGAACCCACCCGTTCTCCGTCAGCCTTGCTCTTCCATAAAACGCCCTAGGTCAGTCTTCAGCCCACCTCCATCGTACCGCACCCGCCGGATCTTCGCCAGCCCAGCTCAATTGTTATGAAACCACCTGTTCCCGTGAAGCCGGAGGCCCCTCGACTGCACCCACCGCCGTAATGACGGGCCGCGATTGCCTCTCAGTCATGTTGTGCTAGTGGCCATGATGTATCATCATGATGTACCAACAATGACGTATCGAAGAGTATATGTAAGGGTGTTAAGGTGCATTTGCGAGGGAACATTATTTACATAGATTAGAGACAGTGGTAATAGGCTTATTCCTCGGTGGAAAAAAACGAGGAGAATAGAGATATAGACGCGTGGATATTTCGGCAACATGCTTGGTGTCGAAACGAATAGCGAAGCGAATTCACTTCGGCTATCTGACTGGTCCATACTGCACGACGCTTGAAATCTGCGGTTTGCTTCCATTCGCCCTCGGCCCTCACTTTTAGGTCACGCAGGCCGGTCGTCATGTTTCGTGGCCGGCCGGGGCATGCGTGGGCCCGCGAGACGGCACTTGCCGCTGAGTGCAACGGGCGGGAAGTCGTGGGAGCCTACTCACTGTCAGATTATTTAAATGCAGCATCACCCGACCGATGGTTTTTACGTGGTTGGATGTGGGGAGGAACTAAAATGAGGGAGGACGCGCGTTAATAACCCTCCTCCCCAGGTACACGAATGTCTAGTGTTGAAATGTGGATCTGTTTCGCGGATTAGGGAGAACCGTGGATGCCACGCGCTGCATTACGTGCAGAGTGAGAGCTCGTTGTACACCAGAAGTGAGGCTTCTATCGCGTTGAGAGGCGATGGGGTCCGTCGGGAGACGTGGATTGGTCAAGTGCGCGAAGCACGAACGCCTCGGACGAGCCGACTGAAATAAAGGAAGGTGTAGTTAGATCGGCAGAGTGGGCGACAGAAACGGATGCTTCAAAACCAAAAAACGGCATACTGTTGGCGCGCTTTTATGGCAAACGATACATCAGTCTTTGTCTCGCACCTCCAGCCCAGTTGGGGGTCAGACAGACGTTATTCTTTGGGACGTTACGTTTAAGGCAGAGTTACCAGGAAAGAAGGGAAGAGGTTGCCATGCATCAGTGCGTGACAGTGCGGGAGGGAGGGCTGAAACGGCCGTAAATGCGTAACATAAGTTGTGGGCCCGGGGAACACTCACAAAGCCATCTGACCCAGAACGCAGCGTGACCGACCTGGATAAATGAGTGCGAGTGTGGTGCCTGGCGCTAGTGCCGTCGTCAGTGGGGTGGCTGTAACACCGATTGGGGACGGGACGCAGGACGGTGTACCGTTGGTCATAACTCAATCAAAGCGAACCTGTTGGACGACGTATCGGCGACATCAGTAACCCTGCTGCCGGCCAAGGTCGGGAGCGAGGGGAGTGGGCTAACTGGTGTAGCGCACGAACTGGGTATCTTGGGAATTCACAGGTTTGGTGGAAGGGGGGGGGATCTGATGGTTGCATTGAAACGCTGACTGTTAACAGGGTGGTCACGAATCAGCTCACAAATTGAAACAATGTGTCACTCGACGGGCGCGTCTCGGGTGGAAACGAACTAAACTTAACGCGCGCAGAACAAAAAAGGTCGAGTTTGCGAAACTTGTAGGTATGCATAATTGAATCCTCGTCCGGCATATTGCGTGCTCCGGTCTTTCTAATCGGTGCCTTTTCCCGGGCTGGCGGCGATTCCTGTGTTTGTAATGGGGTTTTGTGTTAGTGGGTCATTGCGAGTAGTGTATCATATCAGTATAGCGTAGATCATTGCGAGTTAGTGGATCATTGCGAGCCTTCTGTCGACCAGTAGGGCGTGATGTTGACTATCTTGAGCCTCTTACAGGTCAGATGTTTTCTCCTACGTGCCTTAACCCTCTCCCTGGTATGAGGGGGATGATGCAACCCCCTAAGGTCCTTGACGGTGCCTCTCAGGCATGTTGCGCGATCGCGCCCAAGCTTTCAACACCTGTGAGGCATTATTTGATTGTCTGGTTTAGTACCAAAATCATGTTCCTATCTTTTCTGGTATCGGAGCAGTGGCGGTTTTGGAGAAAACTGAACGGCGATATTCGGCGGATGTGCGTGACGGGCAGCAACCAGCGATGCCGTGGAGCGCGCAGCGGACCAACATTGTCACAGTAACGTAGCAGTATGTCATATGCTCAAAACACAAACAATTACACCATAGTGCCCAAAAGGGAACAAGAAACACTTCTGTTAAGGTTTTGTGGCCCCGCAAGGAACTTCATTGTATGTGTAATGCCGCAAAGCTGAAAAGCTGTGATTATCTGAAAAGCTCGACCTTGGACCTGCCATAATCGGCTCAATTATGAAGCCGACAGCTTAAAAGCTAGTACCACTCGCGAGATGCCATTGAGACCAAACCACTGATGTTTTCTGCCAATTCTGGTCGGAAACGCGAGAGAGATCGCATACCTCGCCCATCACCCCGCGTTAGGAAAATGGTGGATCAGGGCGAGGATTGCGGGCCACTCCTTTCATTTGATGAAAGTGCATAGAAGACTCGAGAACAACGTAAACACTTTCGAGGTCCGCCGATGACGTCGGCAGTGATCCTCTTGTACTAGGCCCACCTGCCCAGGGTAAGTGTCTTAATCGCTATATGCGCTACAGTCGCTTGATTTCAGCATAGTCTCTCCAGTACCCAGTAAGTGGGGGGCCTTGTTGCTAGCAGAACACATTTCGCACATGCCAGTTCAAGACCCTGAGCAAACCGGCTGTCCGAAGAGGCGGCAGTTGTGTCAAAGTTCCTATGTCAGGAATGCATGGAAGCAACCGCAGTACCGGCAGCCTTCTATTGCAGAAGGGTAGAATAATGCGCGCTAGTAGTGTCACTAGCAATAATGCGCTTTCACGCTTACCAGCACTGGATGCCACAGTTACAGCGGAGCGATAGATGATCTGTCAGATAACTATCCCGGTCGATTGTAATTCTTCATGCTGACCATACTAAGGCTTGAGACTCAGCTCTGGTCGAATTTGGCCCGGCAGCATTTCAAAGCATCTGACTCCCCTCACCTGATCAGATGGGATGGGTGGTAACCTCGTTTACGACTGCCCCCCCCCCCCCCAACCCTTCGCTGCGCGACGCGGGGGAGCCACACAAGCCGCCGCGCCCGGAACGGTCGCGTCGCTCCCCGTGCGTTGGTCAAACGCTATGAATAGTATGACTGCCAGACGCGTGCACCAGGAATCTTTTTGGGCTAAAGTTTTGTTTGTTGCTTGGTCAGCTGCTGTGGAATCGAAGCACTAAGACCTAACATTAGACTCTTCTCTAAATTGGGAACCGATTCGCAACAAATTTTGCATAAACGCGGTCATTGGTTCATTGATGGTTGATAAATTTTCTACCTTTCATATTCAATGTCATGTTAAGCAATCGTGCGAGCAGACAAACTCGTCTGATGTGTTCACAATGCATTTGAGCATCAAACGTTTAAAAAAAACATGCGCTCATATTCGTACCATTACATGTCAGCATATTTCCATTACATCTCAGGTTATAACGTTTCAGTTTAGTTCGGTATTTCTTGAGTTTTCTTTTATTGCAAATGAATTCGGAATAAAAATCCCGGAGATTAGAAGTTAAGTAATAGCGTCCTTTCATAGACAGGACGCCAAGCAAAGGTAAAAAGTTGTATAACACTCATTCTGTTTTTAAGGAAAAGGTACGGAGCGATGTAAATCACGTTACCAGATTCCTGTGTTTGAGGTCAGAGCCAACGACTGCTATATTGCCGAGACACACTGATAAAAATCACGTTATCAGTCGTAGCTTTAGATACTTGATATTGGCTTTGCTTTTGGAAACCTGATTTGCTGTGATGACTCGCTTAATTTTGAAGCTATTGCAAAATTTTGACTATGGCTGGAAATCGGTGCAAGTGGTTTAATCCCTATGACCTATCTGTGGGTGCTGGAAGTGCAACGGTACACGCATCTGGTAAACTCCTGTGCTTCTGGGAAACCAGAGGTACGAGGTTCCAATCCCCGCAGTGCCCGCCCTTCCTGCCAGGGTAATAGGCAAGTGACGCTATAGAGCCTCAGCAGCTAAGTGAGTCGTAAAGGAACAGTGACGGCGACAATGACCTTTAACCTATCTTAGTGTACATGCATGTGTGATGCTTTTATTTCCAGTTGAAGTCATATTTGTGCAATTTTTAATGAAATATTACACAACTTTAACTTTACTATCCAACCGTTATCAACGGCCAACTTTGTCAGCCTATGGATCAATACGTTGAGAATGAAACGACAGTTGGCAAACAGCACTGAGCAACGCGTCCAAATATGCGTCAAGTACGTGTCACAAGCAGCAAGCAAATTTTAGCTGTTTGCCTTCTTTTGTAAAGTTTTTTTGCAATGCTGCTTGTTGGTTAACTCGATTTTGGAACAAATGATCACTTGGGATTCAGCGTACCTAACAGGTGCGGGTAATGTCTACGCTATGTAAGAAAAACAAAAGTTAAACCAGATCATATGGTAATTTTTAACTGAAGGTAAGGAGATGATCCTGTCAGATTTCATTTTCCTGAAATACGAATTCCTTTCTTCGCTTTAACTTGGGATTGCTTCCACTGTCTAGGGGAAAGCGGGGCAAGACGGGCACCTTAACGGTTTTTGAATATGGCAAGTTCATAAGTCTGTCCAGAAAGTCTTTAGCAGGTGGATATGGAAGGCCAATCAATTGTCTATCTCTTGTAAAAGCGCTGGCTTGATGCCTCTTCATGTTAAAGTGTGATCCTCCTAAATATCAGGCAATGTTTTTTCCTCATTTTGCCCCTGGCTTGGGGCAAAACAAAGCAGTATGGGGGCAAAACGAACAAGTGATGAGATTGAATAAGCGAAATAAATTTTTTCAAAGTTATCATTTTTATTGAGAACGCATAAATAAATGCATTGCTCGGTGAGTAGGTATTTATCTGGAGATCCGATAGCTATTTGTTTAAATTTGGGCTCTCATATTTTGTTCGAACCATCCCACTCCACACTCCTTTCTTAGTATGATCCCACGAATAAAAGTTATGATGGCCAGCAAATGTGTACTACAGTTTAGCATGAAGTGACAGCCATTACTGCATGGCTTAGACACAGAATTCGAGGACCACAGCGTGATGGTTTCACAATGAGACGAAAACAATCGAGTCTCAAACACACAAGTCATCGAGCAAAGTTCGCTCAGGAACACTCACCCGTTCTTCTCATCAATCCACTTCTCAGTCACTGTGAACGCAAAGCACGAGAAGAGCACAGCCTAGCGGACCCGTCAGCAGGTACGACCAGTGGCGAAACCAGACAAGACAAGCGAAACCAGAGAGCACATCTCGACCAAGACTCGCTCGATTTGGAAATGGAGAAGAGAGACCCGCAGTACAGACAAGCTACATCTTCTTCGTCCGAGGACTCCTCAAAGGTAAGCTTTCGCGGCGTACGGTTCTTTTGTTTACGCTGCAGTTTCTGAGTCTCTGCATTCCTCCTTGTTCGTCCGACTGACTTCTGTCCTCATTTTTCTTTCCTCCCTGTCTACCTTCTTTTCCTTCGAGTAAATTCTGGTGTTTCTCCTTGTATGGTGTGCCAGTCAAGACGCACGTTTTACCGTTCTTTCGTCCTTTACCTCTCCCTCCCTTGAGCGCACTTTTGGCACGAGGAGGATTTCGCGGAGGGACACATAGCAGCTTGCAGGTGTATTATTCGACCTTGGGAAGCTTGGCTCGGTCCAGCTGAGCATGGCACTTCTAGAGCGTCATCTTTGTCATCGCTAGAGCTTGAGAAATCATCTGGCAGTGCCCTAGCGGTGAACAACTTCGCCGGAGTTTCGGCATTAGTCGAGCTTCCCTGCCCCGATATTCCAGCCTGCGTTGCGTCTCCGGCGACAGTTTCCGAGGACTCTCGAACGTTCGTGCTCACCGAGACATCAACGTCAGAGGGCCCAGGCATGGGCAGAGGAGCTGCTGCTGAGTTGAGACCCACTGGTGCGTCTGCGGTGCCGGCCAGCGAGATGTTCGTTGTTCTCTGCCGCTGCGTAGTCTTCTTCGCCAAACACATGGCGGTTTGTGGGAAAGATTCCTGTGACTTCGAAGCCCTTCAACGCCGTCTTCACTGTTTCCGCCTGCACGTAGGCTGACCCGATGAGCTCCCCATCTCATACATGTGGTGACTTTACCAGGTTTTTTCGGAGCCACGTTCTTTGACCTTGGAAGAACAAGGTGCTGACGGGAAGCATGAACGTCCGTCCATTTGAAGTCGGTTGTGAAGTGTGCGGAGGAATAATGAGCGTCACCGCACCTGCTTCCCTGCACAGCAGGATGGCTGCGAGGCTCTTGGTGTGACTGGCGTGTCCATCCAGTATGAGAAGGACTGGATCCTGTTTCGAGGGCTTCGCGTGCTGTATGAAATGGTCAAGCCATTTCACAAACAGCTCCTTCTGCATCCAACCAGACTCATGGTACAGCACCAGGCTACCTGTGGGAAGACCCTTCTCCAGCTGCTGGTTGGCCCTCTTTCTTGGGAATATCACATCTGGAGGTATCTAGCTCCCCGCAGCGTTGACCACATCACACCCCGGTAACCAGCGTGCCTCGTTCCGCAGATGTCAGGTGGCCGACCTGCTCGCACCCCTTCCTCGCCAGCACATTTTCTGTTTTTTGTTGCGTTCTGCCTAGGCACTGCCTTTTGTTGCGACCGTGTGAACATCCCGTTTCATTCATGTTGTAAAGGGTGTGGGACCGAACTGGGCAGAATCCTCTGCGACTCAAGGTTGTCGAAGAACGCGTTGACACTAACTGAGTTTGAACGCCGCGCGGCGCGAACAACCGCTTGTGGGCCTCTGGTGTCCTTAGTGAGACCGTGGGGTTCCTCTTGCGGAAGCACCGCATCCACGCCTCCCCAGCCATCTTCGTCACTGTGTTGAATGGGTTAGTGATCTTGTTTTCTGTCCT